AATAACAAACTTGATTTTTGTAGCTTTTCCAGGAATTAATTCTTTAATTAAAATGTATTATCAATTAATTTAATTACAAACTTTTTATAATATAAAATTTCTATTGGGTATGTACAAAAGACAAACCCCAAAATCATTTATATATTTTTTTAAAAAATAACTCCATAAAGATATATCAAGAACAACAACACCTAAGTTTTAAGAGGCTAAGTTTGGCAATCCAATTTCAATAGTTACTTAAAAGGCCTGGCAATTGGGTTCTTCTAGTAGATGTCTACTTTTTGCATTATAGCTTCATGTACATCAAGGGTAGGAAAGAATTAAAGGATATAAATGGGCAGCCACCCCCGGTGGTGACTGAAGAACTTCATTGCTTTTTCTTGTAAGTCACATTCTAGAATACAGCTGTAATTGCTCTTCAATTCAGTATCTTGAAAAAAAAAAAAAAGGAGCAGAATGGAAGATTGTGACTTGGAATATAGAGGAATAAATAGCAAAGTCCATGAATTAACAAATGGAATGAAAGAAAGAAAAATAGATCTGTTCTCTGTGAAACTAAGAGAAAGAGGTTAGATGTAACAGAGTGGTATGAAAGTAGTCTGATCTTGAGGAGTTGATGAATACATGCAGGGAAGTGAAGGTATAGGTTTAATGAGGATTGCTGCATGTGCATATTAAAATAGGAAGCCACACATTGGTGATAGTTACTCATTATGCTTCAGAGAATGGTAATAATGAAAGAACAGAGGATGAGTTTTGGAAAAAGAAAAAGTGCAACATTCTGAATTATAGTGGTCCATGCAACAACAACAAAAGCTGCTAAGTGATATGATATGAATAGATGGGTGGGAATGAGACGAGAAAATTCAGAAAAAATGACGATCCAAATTGGAAAACCAAAGAATGAATGAGAATGGTGACTGATGAGTATCTGATTAGAAAAAGCTCTGGTTGTTTCAAATACATGGTTTAGATATAAGCACTTTGTGTACCAGACTCGGTGCCAGACCCCATGTAAAGTTGCAGCTGAGAAAACTGTGTTCTTGTGTAGTGGGGGTGAGCTGTATTTGTGGTGATCCCTGCATAGATTGTGACAAAAGGACAACAGAGGAATGTGGTGGCTGCCATTAACATCTGAGGGACAACAAACAAGTCAGCAACCAAATCAGGAGACTGGACCCTAGCCCTTTGCTTTTGAACATTTTGACTATGGCTAGATCATGAGATGGAGGAATCCGAGGTCTGGTATAAGCTGAATAGCTTGCAGAGACAGCAGCGAGGAAGGTCAGGAAGTAAGAATGCCACTGGGGTAAACAGAAATCCTCAGAACCTGGACTGACTCTGAAGCCAGTGAGTGATTGAATGCCCAGAGGAAACAAGGTTGGATTTCTGAGGAGTGAGAACCATGGAACTCTGAAGAAATCTTCAACTTCCTATAATGAGATAAAGGGAGATAGATGGGACCCTTGCCAGCTGGTGCAGGATGCCAAGGCCAGGGAGGAGGGAAAGCTGTAAACCCGCAACAACTGGGAGCACTGCCCTGGAGGTAACTGGTTATGAGTGTCTGTGTGAAACTGGGCTGCAGTGACAATCTGTCAAGAGGGAGTTTGTTAACTGTGTCTGGTGAGGTCTTTGGCAGAAATGAGCCTGGAAGGGCACAAGAGGTGACAATGAGCAAAATTTGGAAAGTGCAGTGAAAAGTTTACTATACGCTTGGAAGGCAGTATAACATCAAGTGAATCGGTCTGAATTATGGAATGTCTTTCCTGTGAATAAAGAGTTGAAGGTTGGTTGCTGAATGCTGTAAGAATGATATATGATGGAAATCAATCATGAGTAAGAATAAATGAAATGCTTAAGAAATGGTTCAACACTGAGCAGGGAATAAGAGAAGGTTTTATTCATTATTAAACTCTTGGTTAATTAAATTTATATGAATAGGGAATGTTTGTGGTGATGTAAGAGATGTGCTTGCTGGAGACATGGACATGCCTATACTCTTGTATGGAGATGATGTCATATTGCTGGCAGCAAGCCTGATTTGCAGCACGTTAGACAGTTTGTACAATGCAATGAGGACTATGGATCTGAAACTTAATGTATCAAGCAGCAAGGTAGTTGTGTTTGACAGGGAATGAGGTGAATGTCTCCAAGTTATGTATACATGGTGAAAAATGGGCATGTTGATAAATCTGTATCTTGGTAAAATGTTTACCAAAGGTGAGAAAATGGCTGGAGAAATTTTAAGACGCTCTAGAAAGTGGTCAGTTAGTGTTTTGGATATCTCATTTACTGTGAGGAATGAGTGTTTGTCAAAAGAAGAATAATAGCATGCTTCTGCCCACTTTCTTATATGGAAATGAAAGCTGAGTATGTCAAGCATAAAGGTAAGTTGAATGGCTGCTTTAGAAATGCATGTAGTAAAACAAGGGAGAAGGTCAAGAATGAATGGGTGCTGAAAGAACATGGATTGGATACAAATGTGAGTGACCGGTACCAAAGAAGTACATTGATATGGCGTGGTCCTATAGAGAAAATGAATGAGGGTTAAGTTGTAGAACAAATATATATGGAAGAGTGAAGAAGACAAGAAGTAGGGGAAGATCAAGAAAGGTTGGCTGGAGGGAAATGAGGGAAATCCACAGAGGTGACAAGTTTAAAGAACGAAAGGCAATGTGGATGGAAGCAAGGATGGGACAGAGAGATATAATGAACTGAGTAGGTGTAGGCTAGATTTAACTGTATTTTCTTTTTCTTACCTCATGCTTTTAATTTCTTTGGCTTAGTATTTCCTACTTCTTTTCTGTGCTTTGCATAATTTTGTTTATCCTTATGTAACCATATCCAATATTTTGCATCATTATAATTCAGTATTAGAGCTGTGCAAAACCATATGGAGGAAAGCACAGCTCTACTCAGCACTGCTGATCTTAATGTTAGTATTGCCTCCCATGTTTCTGATATGATGTTTCTTCTAATGATACGGAAAATAATATTTTCCTAGTAGCTACAGCATCACGTTGCTGGCTTGCATTCAGTTTGTGTTCCACTATAAATCACAGCTCCTTTGAGTCATTTTCCCTAGCCAGTTATCTCCCACTCTGAATTTTTATGTTTGAATTCTTTCCTAGGTTTCTTACTGTTGAAAATGTAAGATTGGCTTTTGTTCACCAAAGAATTTAAGATCTTTCTTGTAAGTTATTGTCTGTAGATGCTAAAATCTCTAGAAAATATTGAACAGTAGCACAGTCTGAGAACAGGATACTGTACATTGCTCAGCAATTCCTCACCCAGAATCAGAACTGCAGGTCAGGATTCAACCCCTCAGTGAAATCTGTAAAGGGTTCTAGCTCAGTGACAAAATACCGTCATTGCATACATAAACTCCTTGGTTCAAGACCCTGGCATTTCCGAGCACAGCTGAAAAAGTATATTTTGAAAACCCGGAGAGCTGCCATTGTCAGTTTTCATCAAAGATGAACTACCACTTTAATGCAAAAACCCATACTTTGTTTTGTAGAATATGTCAGGACAAATCTACATTTGATTAAAATGAAATGTAGAATATTTTTTTTCATAGAGATGGAAAAGGCAATTTAGGCTGTTAATTAAAGCATTCCATACAATAGCTGTTTAGCTTCTACCACCTCTTTGAACAATTGATCCCACTGTTAAACTGCTGCTAATGTTAGGAAGTCTCTTCAAGCATTCAGCTGGAATCTTCCTTTCTGTAACCTAAATCTATTGTGCTGTAGTTTGGAATGAGAAATAGGTCTTCATCATTTTCTTTGTGTTATTCTTTCAGATATTTTTTTCTGAGGGTTTTTAAAGTATATACATGCTGCCTAGAGTCACTTGTGTGGCAAGTTGGATGGCGTATATACATTTGAAAAATAAATAAATAAATAAAATAAATTAACTAAATACAAAAACAAAGAAAAAGAATATACAAAATTGTATTCTCTTCAGATATTTGAAGAGTACTATCCTGTCCTCCCATAACATTTTCTCAACACTAAATAAAGCCAGCTTCTTCACTCTCTTGTTGTAGACTTTGGTTTCTAGTCTACTGATCAACCTCATTGCCCTTCTCTGAATCTATTCCAATTTCTCTAAAAAAAATTTAAAGTGTGGTACACAGGACTAGATGCAGTACTTGAGATGAGGTCTGGCCAGAATAGAGTACAATGGATTGATTATTTCCTGTGATTTGAAAATTATACTTCTGTTGATCCCACCTAAAATTGCCTCTGCCTTCTTCACAACCACATCATACTGTTGGCTCACATTCAATTTACAATCAACTACTAATCAAAGTTCTTTTTTGCAAGTATTTTTACCAAGTTATCCCCATCCTACCCCTTTGTGGTTATTTTCTATTTCTTATATGAAAAGTTTGTGTTTGTCTGTGCTAAATATCACACTGTTATTTTCTACCCATTTTTCCAGCCTATCAAGATTGTTTTACATTTCATTTCTATCTTCTGGGGTATGATCTATCCCACCCACAGGGTACGATCTGAATGGAGGCAGATGATATTGTGGAGTCGAGTGGATGAAAACATTTCAGGAAATGAAAGTGTGGGTTTAATTATGAATGAAAGAACTCAAATGGATGTTAGGAAATATGAATTGGTGTCATCTAGGTTGTTGTAGGTGTGTATGAAAATAGGAATCCATATGTTAATGATAGTTACACGTACTATTCCAGTAAATGGTGCTAATGAAAGCACCAGAGATGAGTTTTGGGCAACATTTTGAATAAATGTAATCCGGGGGAAAATGTTTATGTTAGATGACATGAATGGATGGGTGAGAATGAGACAAGAAAGTACAAAAAAAAGTCACTGCTACTTGGAGACTGAATCAGAATAGCAACTGATGAATATTTGCTTAGAAAATGGTTTCCTTGTTTTGTGTATGTTAATGAAGAACAGTCTATTCATGGAGACACATTTATTATTACTTTATTACTTTCTAAAATTTCATAACCCAACTCATTCCCAAGACTTCAGTTAGTTTACATAAATATAAAATAATAAAGATAGTCATGCAAATATAATATAGCATAAATACCCTTAAGAGGTAATAACAACTTGTGTTTAGTTTTATACTCCAGATGGCTCATTAAAATGTCAGGTCTTGGTGGCCTTACACACAGCAGTCCAACAGATTTCAGGGAGAAGCAAATTTCATATGGATGGTGCCACCATAGAAAAGGCTTGGTCTGATGGCCATTCTCCTCTTGATTTCACATGGGCTGATTAAATGTGATAGGTAGATCCTCTCTGAAGATGCTCCTTTAGGTACCTGGACCAAAACAATGGAGGGCTTTATAGATCATAATCAGCACCATGAACTGTACCCAGAAATATTCTGGCAGCCAATGCAGTGCTGCAATATTGGTACTATATTAGCCACTGCATTTTGTACCAGCTGAAGTTTCTATGTCATCCTCAAGGGCAACCCCAAGTGTGCCACAGTAATCCATGTGTGCAAGTGTACTATAGTATCCAAGTGTGCTATAGTAATCCAAATAAGCCAAGTGTGCTATAGTAATCCATCTGAAAAGTAATAGGGGTGTGTAAATAAATTATATAAAATAACTTATAGTTGTTATGATTATTTCCTCATGCATTTAAAAAGTATTAAAAACAAGAGTTTGTAAAAATCTTTTAAATGATCTAGGACTGTCCTGAAGGCTTTTGGAGGGCCCCTTGTAGCCTTATATTGTGCTCCTTACGTAGACTACATTGCACTAAATATAGTTTAATATAGTCCACTATATTGGAAGAGGCCAACTAACTGGAAGAGGCCAGCTAGACTCCCAAGGCAGTCTTCTGAGGTTATTGTGGGTCAGATGATATTCCCTACTATCTCCCCAATCTCTTGGTTCCTCTTTACCTCTTGGACAACAAAGAGAATTTTGTTGTATATTTCTTGCACTGGATTACCCATACCTTTCCTCACTTCAACCAGCCTCTTGTCTCCCATTCCAGCATTTGATTAAAATACAGTTTAATGTCCAGCCTAGCATTAATTAATGCCATCCAATTATGTTGGTATCTAATGTTATATATCCAATTCCAAGATGGCCAAGAATTCTGGGAGCTGTGATCCAAACATGTGTGGAAGGCATCAGATTGGGAAGGCCAGTCTAGTCTAATGCATTGTCAAGTCTCACTTAGCTAGCAAGCTGAAGAAGTGGGAATCATACGGATTTCAGACAGGCATCTTTAATGTTAGTCCAGGGGAAAAAAACCTTGAAAGCCAGTTAAGGTGAAGTCTCTTTGAAATATTTCCTTCTTCTGGCCCCCACCTCTGGGCTGGAATTCCCCTTCTCCCCTGACTGTTCCCATGGTCTCTCACGTGGACTGACACGAAGCAGTTCATAATGTATCAACAGTAGCAACAACAAGTACTCATCTAATCTGCTATTACAATTGCAAGAAAGAGCATCTTCCCTGAACAGCTTCAGGGAGTTTTGTTGACGTTTTAATTGAAGTTAACCTTTCTATGATTTAAAGACATTGGGATGAAGGCAGAAATTGTCTGCCTCCAATGTCCACTGGAGGAAACGATATACACTGCAACTATGAAAGGCTCCTTTGGCAATGTAAACTACAGGTATGAATGTCTTTAAAGTAGCATGTAGTTTGACCCTAAGAATGCAGTCTTGTCCAAAAAAGTTCTCAGTGGGATTCAGAATTGCATAGTAAAGTTATAGCCCCTAACATATTAATTCTCACGTGTATGAGATGTTATTTCAAGCAAACATAGCTATGATTAGGATGAAAAGCTACAAAATAGTAGCAACACTGAGCTAGCTGTTCCATTAAGTTTGCCATGTCTAACTTTTTATGTTAATTTCAGTAAGACCGAAATATGGCTAACTTAAGCTGAATCCATTCGTACTTTTGCAACTATTTGCTACCATGATTGTAGCAATTTAACATTTCAGTTGCTCCAGCAGTTGCTCTTCCTTCAGCAGTGTAACAGCCCCTCATTTGAAAAATTCTCAGACTTACAGTGTTCAATGCCCCCTTTACTCTTGCCAAATATTGTTGCCTATCCAATGGTTGTGTTGATTTGGGTGAATTTAAGTTTTGTTTGATCATATGTGTCTGGCATTTTCTATGCTTTCTATGCTGTTTTAATTATTTTTAGCTACCCAGAATCATGAACTTGAGATGGGCAGCCATATAAATTGAGACAACAAATAAATAAATAAATCCTAGTTTACCCATTGTTCCTAGTTTAGAAATTGTTTAAAGCAATCTTTCATTTTGGCCTCACTCATTAACACAGGTTGAAAACAAAGGGCTTTGGATGCAGTGATCATCTTACCTTGAAACTGTGTAGCATTATATAATGTATAGGCTTGGGAGCATCCTTGGACATGCCATCTAGTGCTTATTTTATCTAAGCCCACTCATTTTTCGCTGGTGTAACTGCCCTTGTAACTGTCTGGATTGAGGACCCTGTTAAAGACACAGATAGCAGTAGCACAACCTGGGAATATGTATACCAGTCCTAAGAAAGCAAAATAAAACACAATTTATATAAGATTTTGTGGGAGTGATTTTGTTACTTCAGATGAATACTGACTAGACAGTCATGCACAGACATGCACAAAGATAATAATAATTGGAGCATCTCAGCCGGATTCTAAGCCTTTCTGGTTTCTGACATGGAGACGTTTGAGAACACAGCACATTCTTCTACCTGTCTGCATGACTCAAGGAAAAAGAGCATAGATTCACTGCTGGGCTGCAGTACAAAGATGTTGATGGTGCTGCTCTGCAAAATAACCTTGCAACTCTGTGCTCTCAACTTCTCACTCAAGAATAAAGATGAAAAAAAGTAAGTTATTTTCATCAGATAAAAGCATGAGCAAGGACTGTTGAATTGTGCAAGCCCAATTTGTTCCATAAATGTGCAGCTTTTATTTTTCTCTTGAGGTGGCATCTCTTCTTTTAAAAAGGCAAGAGTGGTTGTCTGCATTGTAGGCAATGATCAGCATGTTGAAAAGGAAAGAGGAGATTTTTAATAAGGGGTGGAGGAGGCGTTGACTTGCAGATTGCCCTTCCAAAGAGTCCCTCTAAAGCAATACTAGCCCTCAGGGCATTCTTCCTCCTCCCCCCCCCCCCAGGATGACTCAGCCCTATTCCACCTTAGCTTCAAGTTACAATTTGGTAGCTTATTTACAATTTGGTAGGAAACTTTGTTTGCATTTATGGTAAGAGTTACCAAAGAGAGGGGATAGGGGCAAAGTAGTAAGGTCTCTCTCAAGTGCTCAGTGATAAAAACAGATCCTTTGCTTTCGGAGTGTGTCCCAGGCCT